GTCGAGCGACTCGAAGACGCGGACGCCCTGCGCGCAACGCTCTCTACAGGTCGTAAGTCCAGCGCCAACGTACAGGCCAGACGACGCTGCAACGTACCCGGCAGCTCGATCGCGAGCGACGCCTTGCCGGACGCCGGCTTGTCGGCGCTGCTCTCATGGACCGGCGTCTCCCAGAGCAGCACGTGCTTGCCAATGGCGCGGTAGCTCACGAAGCGGTCGTGCTGCAGGACAAAGCCGCCGCCGAGGCTCTCGACGCCTGGCAGAGACAGGGTTAGCCGCCGTCAAGTCGGTCGATGCAGGTACGTACGGCTCGGGGGCGCATGCGCCGGGACTCTCGTGAGCTTGGAGCGCACGCGGAAGGCCGCGTCGGTCTCCTTCTCGACGTAGGCAAGCGGGACCTCCTGCATCGCGGCTGCGCTTCCTCCCATCGCGTTTCCAATAAAATATTTTCGCGCAGCTCATTGGTCAAAAAGCAGTGGCCGCGCGGTATCCGGCATTCCGGATACTGCTGTCTTTTTCACCGTATGTGAGAAACGTGAAAAAAGTGGTGTGTAGGGTGCGCAAGCTGGGAACTAACCGGATAGCCGGTCGACCGAACCGGTTCGTTTTTGACGTGGCGTGCGAAATCGTGCGAAATGGGAGAAAGGTGGGAATTAAAATATGAAAAAACCGCGCCAAGAAGAACAACTGCGTATCTAGGACAAGGGTATAAAATGTGATGCCCTTGGTTTATGCCCTTGGTAGGACGTAGCATTGGTTGTTTTCTACCACATGCCAAGGACCTTGTCGTGGCGTGTCTCTGGCTCACGCTTAAAGCATCGGGTGCCAACCGCGGTTCAACGTTGGAATCGACGGTCGCGGCAGCCGCTCGTTCGGCGGTACATCGTGCGTGTTGCAGTACGTTGCATAGTCGTCCAGCAACGACTCGATGTGCTTGTACGACCCATCATGCGTCAAAAGAGCGTCGTGGTACAGCTGCCGACGGGGCGGCAACACCGTTTCCAACTGCGCAGCGGGCAGGTCGTGCTGACAAAACCGTTCCAGGCGCTCGCGCTTGGTCGCGCTGCACACGCGACAGAACCAGAACGCGCCTTTCGGACATGCTGCGCAGCTGATGAGGACGCCGCGGATGGGCTTGCTGCACAAAACGCAGTTGGTAGGCCACCACTCGGGCGCCACGTCACTGCAGATGGCCTCGGTCACTAGCGCGAGAAGGTGGCAGCGCGCCATGGGGTCGGCAGTCGCCACGCGGTAGATGGCTGCGACGGTATCCTTGCCGGGCAGGATGCGGTGGGCGGCTAGAAAGTGGTCGGTGGCCGCAGCAACGTCACCGCTGGTCCACACAGCGTGGCCCAGATAGAGCTCCGCTACGCACGCCATAAAATGAGCTGGCGATTTGAAGGACGAGCATACCATCACGCTTGTAGTGGACGGGGGCGTTGGCGGCGGGGCAGAGAGCACGCACCGAGCGCAGGATGGCCATCGCACCCGCGACGTCACCGGACTGGAGCAAGAAGGAGCCTTCGTTGAGTGACGCCGCGAGCGTCAGTTTGTGGTCTGCCCCAAGCGTACGTTGCGCGGTCGCAAGAACGCGCTGGTTGAGCGCGAGGCCTTCGTCAAAGCGTCCGAGAGCCAAGTACGCTGCGCTTGCAATCTGCAGCGTCAAGATCGTGCAAACGTGGTCGGAGCCGTGGAACTGCTCCTGCACCGCTGCGGTCTTGCGACTCCAGCGCAGCGCCGTACGGGGGTCATGGAGCCGATGCACAATCTCAGTCACGAGGCTCATGACGACAGCGGTCAAGCTGCTGGCGATGCCGTAGACGTGTCGGTGGGCGTCAAAGAGATCAAGTGCGACGGTTTTGGCGTCATGGACCAGGTCGTTCCGAGTGAGGGCAGCGACAAAGCTGTACTTGGTGGCAAAGACTTCGCGGTCAGAAGGCCCGAGCAACTCGGTTTGCACCGCCAGTGCCGACTCGAAGAGCGGCTGCCACGTATGTGCCGGTTTGCGCAAGGTGCCGCGCGTCATGCCGACATTGACTTGTGCCGAAGCAACGTCGAGTCGGGCGCTTCGCCCATCCAGTGTCGTGAAGTGCGACAGATCGCGCGCAAAGCAGCGCTCCGCATCCACACAGTTGCGGTCATTGAGGTAGATCCAACCGAGAGCACGCCACCGATAGGCCTGCTGCACTGGAGATGACAGAGCACCGATGGACGATTCCAAGGTCGTCTTGATCCAAGTGGATAAAGTGGAAAAGATGAGCCGGTCGACCGCGACGAACGACGTCTCGGCGCGAATCCAGGCAAAGATGCCGTCGCGATCCGAGGGCACGGTCGCCTCCGAGTTTTCGCTCTTGATCGTCGCGAGCATCTTCACAAATGCGCCGTACTGACCAATGCCACCAAGAAAGGTGGCTTCTTGATCCCGCGCCAGTGCAATCTCAAAGCGCGCGCCCATGGTTACGGCCACGTAGACCTCAAAGACGCACCAGCTCCGACGAAGCACGATCGGGTCGTTCCACGGGTGCATGATCATGACCATGTTGCCGATCGTGGCCAAGCTGTCCTTGAATGTTGTCGACCAGTACTCGAACGGGTACGAGCTCGCGAGGTGCTGGTTGTTGTTGAAGACGCAAAACCAAATGACCGCGTCGTCGGTGAGACCACGGTCGGCGAAGAAACGCTCGAGGCTGTCGACGGTCTCCAAGAAGAGATACTGCCAGGCGTGCGAGACGTACCAGTTGGCCGGCGCAACGAACGAAGCGGTCGTTGGGTCGTTGGCGACGTGGTCGACGAGCGAGAGCTCGGTTGGCTTGGTCAGTGGCACGACAAACTCAAAGCAGACTTGAGCTGTTGTCTTGCCAGCAAAGCTGGTTTCGCCGCCATGGCTGTTGATAAAGTGGCGCAGGTACGAGAGGCGGAGACCGCGGGCAGGCGACGTCATGGCAATTTACGAAATGAGTCAACACTTCTGCCAAACCACTTCACGGTCGCGCATTTGAGGCGTCGACGCCGAAACCAGATGGTTGCCGGTGATTGTAGTTGTCTCGAATCAAATGTCTAAACACACCGCTGATCCTTGGATCGCGTCAACGCCAGAGGTGCTACACCGGCAGCAGACACCTTGGGGCCCAAGGTGTCTTTGCGTTTGCTCCAAGGCTTGGCGCAAACGCAATGCTGCATGGCACACGTGACGCGCTGCGGTCACCGCTCGCCGCCGTTTCCTCCTTCCGATCTCGCAACAGCCTTTTCTTGTGCTGCGGCCTTGACAGTAGACGGCTTGCTTCACAAAGCGCTGTGTCCTCTCCCACGGCCACGTACTGCGCACCTGCCACAAACACACACAACCAGCTGGCCCAAAGCGACGTAGGCTTACTGGCGTCTGTGCGCAGCGTCGGTGTCTGCGCCAGATGCGCGGCGACGACCCGCCGTCCGAGACGTGGCGTGACGACAGGCCATGCCAGCAGACGCCGAGCCGTGCGCCGGTCATGGCGTTGGTCGAGGCAGGCTGGGTCCAGATCGCGTCAGTCGTATGCGGCTGTGCTGGACCAACCTACTGCAGCGCTGTTGTCCTGACCACCATGGCCGCTCTGCAACTTTCTCGTCGCAACCGAAGCGCAGAATGACGTCCGGATATCATTATATTCGGCATTTGCCGATTCGTGTGAGCGGGCTTGCAGGAGGCTAAAGTCGCGAGAGCAGGATTGCATGTACCGACGTGCAAGAGTCCATAAACTGTGTATGGACCCTTGCTACGTGCCAGCGTCGTCAAGGTAGAAGACGCTGATGGCGGCTGCCATGCGATGATCGACGCCGTCCAAAAGAAGATGACGATGAAGAAGCTGTCGTCCGGATATCATTCCATTCGGCCTAATCCGATTCCTGTGGAGGAAGCTGGCAGAGCCCTGAGCTGGAGGCAAGCTGTCATGTGGTATAAGTCAAGAATGACGTCTGAACTCGAGCGCACACACCCTCGTCGACGTCGCGTCGTATGGAGGGCGAGTGTGATGGAGCGCGTCCGGCATTGCGTGTCATCCGGATAAACCATGTCGTGGATTGGATAAGAAGTAGCCAATAGTACCGGTAAAACAGAGGCGTCAGTCGGCCAAGCCACTTGGACGACGATGAACGAGGTGGCACGGAGATGACGTCCATCGATATGGAGGCTCACGGACGCGGATGCGACGATATAGGAAGCGCTTCTCAAGGCTGCAGAAGACGGCAACTTGGCGGCCGTCCAAGCTTATCTCGACAACAGCGTCGACGTCAACTGCACAGACAGTGTGCGTGGCATCTCCATCCATCGATGGCCAAGGAGATTGATGTACAGTGGCGTAGAGTGGTCAGACACCTTTGCACTTTGCTGCTTCCTCAGGTCGCTTGGAAATCGTCCGCCTTTTGCTCAAGACGGGTGCGGCCATCGACGTCCAAGCCATCGTACGTTTTATGATTTGCGTTGCATCTCTCACGTGTACATTTATGCTGTTTGTACGATTGGTATATAGTATGGTTTTACGCCAATGCACTATGCTGCTTGGCTGGGTCAATTGGAGGTCGTCCGCTTTTTGCTTGCGAAGGGCGCGGCCATCGACCTCAAAGACGAGGTATGAGCGCCCTATCTATTGCGTCGTGTGGTATCATAACATTGTATGACGATTGGCGTAGGGTGGTGAAACACCATTGCACCGTGCTGCTTCTTATGGGCGTTTGGACGTCGTCCGCCTCTTGCTTGAAAAAGGCGCTGTCATCGACGTCAAAACCAACGTGCGTTCCATTCGCTCTACACATAGGAGAGAGATGCTAAGAGACTTTTTCTTGTAGAAAGGCAAAACGCCACTCCTGCTCGCAAAAGAAAAAGGGCATGACAATGTCGTCGCGGTTATGCAGAACGCGCCTCGGTTGAGAGACCACGTCCTGGTACAAGATATATCTTTATACCTAGGAGCTCATGCAAATTCGCCCACAGCTTTTTGAAGCCCTCGACGAGAAGCGGTTGGCCAATGCGATTGAGATCCTTCAGCAAAGCATTCTCGATCCCAACCTTCGCGACAGCGTACGTCCCATCTTTGTCTATTGCACGATGGAACACTCTTGTATGACTGTAGAATGGAACGTCTTTGGTACAGTTGGTGCTCGAGACGCAAAACCTACCGCTGCTCCAAGCGCTCTTGAGAAAGCCCAACCTCGAGATCGACGTGAGGGATGAGGTACACTCGTATCGATCGTCCTCTTTACTAGTACAATATCTATGCATTAGACAGCTCGAGCACTCGCTCAAAACTCCCGCGTGGTCAAGTCCCTCTTTTTTCGAGCCGCCTCCGCCAACGACAAGAGCATCGTGGATCGTCTTTTGTCTCTTGGCATCAGTCCAACGCTTAAGAACGAGGTTGGCGCTTCGAGTCGTTATTGCCTCACCTGGAAGTGCTCTAGAATGGAGAGACCGCGCTGCATCTCGCAGCTTCCAGCGGCCACGTAGCCATCGTCACAACACTGCTCAACAAGGCAAAGGACGAGGACTATATCAACGCGACCAATCACGTGCGTCCTCACTTAACGTCTCTCTCAGTACGGATTCCGCAAATCGATTGTAGGCTGGCGAGTCGGCCCTTTTTGTCGCGGCGGCTCGCGGCCACGCGGACATTGTTGAGGCGCTTCTTGGAGTCAATGCTAGTACTCATAATGTGACCAATGTAAGTCATGGAAGATCGGTGACCAGGAATGCAACGATTGGGTGTACTACTGTAGGAGGATTCATCGCTGCTGCATGCGGCCGCGATCGGTGGCAAGAGAAACATCCTCGACCACCTTCTTGCGTTTGACCTTGACGTGGCAGCGTGTGACAAGGTCATTGCTACTTACACTTGTTTATAGTCTATAGCTTCCTCTCGATCTACTCCACCTAGATGGGACAAACATCCCTGCATGTCGCGGCCGCCAAGGGACATGCGAGCGCTGTGCTGTCGCTTTTGAACGCCAACGCCAACGTTCTAGCGACGACAACGGTACCTCCCTCCAGATAGAGGAAGCTTTGGAAGAGCAAAACACTCTGCCTCTAGTCAGGCAAGACACCGTTGATGCTAACAACGGACGGTCGCGTCCTCGCCATCTTGGAACAGGCCGAAACCAGAGCCAACACGCACGTACATCCTCCAGCTCCGTGTCGACTTGAACTGGATGAATGTCAAATCACCTTAGCGTGCCGCAGAGATTGTCAACGCCGTGACCAAGCAAGACTACCACCAGACAAAGGCGCTCTTGACCGATGGTGTGAGCCCCAACACCATGAACGAGGCAAGCCACCATCGTTGAACACATGATGAAGAAAGATGTCGAGTAGGCAGGCGACTCGCTCCTGCACCTCGCCGTGCAACACAACGACCACAAGATACTGGACGCACTCGTACGCGCGCCACGCGTCAAGATGGACGTTCAAAATACGGTACTCTCACCAGTCGGTTTACTGCAGCAAAAACAATAATGGCTTTGGTTTCGTAGGCGGGTGTGACGCCGGTGACTCAAGCCATCCAACGAGGTCATCGACGTCTGGCGACGATACTGCAGGCCGCTGCGCACAGCGCGATTCCTGACGTCTGTCTTTTCCATTTGAATGAATTTTCTAACGATCGGCGTCGTTAGGTGTTGGCGGCGAAAATCGAGATGGACACGTCAAGTCCATTGGGGTCGGGCGGGTACGGCGCCGTATACAAGGGCACGTACAAAGGCCAGACCGTCGCGATCAAGACGGCTGCCAACGCCTCGTGTGGCCGAGCGCTTCTTTACGAGATGGAGACCATGCAACTGTGCGTCTCCTATAAGATTTTCTCCCAGTATTTCTTATCCTCTGCGAGGATAGGTGCGATTCGCCGTACGTGCTTCAGCTGCTTGCGGTCTCGGGCGCCAACACATCGAGCCCTAAGCTTGTGCTCGAGTACATGGACGGCGGCGACCTGCGCAGCTACCTCGACGCCAAGCGCCGAGGTGAGCCCACCAAGGTCGACGTCTCGTCCCTTGAAGTGGCGTGGGTGCTGGCGAATGCCCTCGCCGATATGCACCACAGCGGTCTCCTCCACCGCGACCTCAAGAGCCAAAACGTCCTTCTTTCCTCAACCAACTACATCAAGCTCGCCGACCTCGGTATTGCGCGCGAGTACGAGTCCAACATGACGACCGCCAAGGGCACACCGTACTGGACAGCGCCTGAAGTCTTTGCTTCAGACAGCAAGTACAGCTTTGCCGCCGACATTTACTCGTTTGGCGTCATTTTGACCGAGCTCGACACGCTTCAGCTGCCTTTTCACGATGTCAAGGATCTTGGGTACTGGAGTATTATGGACCAAGTGCGTCTCGGCACGCGTCGTCCGACAATGAGCGCCAACTGTCCGCCTTGGCTGCGTCAACTCGCCGACGCCTGTCTGTCGTTCGACCCGTCACTGCGTCCGTCGGCGCAGATGCTTGTGACCTCCCTCCAGAAGCTTATTGGTCGCAGCAAAAAAGAGCTGGCGAGCGAGCCCGAAGCCGAGCCCTCCAACCAAGGGATCCGTCTCACGGTATTGAAACTTGACGGCTCCGAAATGTCACTACCAACTGTTATGTCTGTAGCACTCGACGCCCGAAAGCCTCGACGACGCCAACAAGCTACAAAGTCGCACGAGCTCGACCCTCCGCGACGCCTCAGCGACGACCACAACCTCGTCCACCGCGTCTGGGACGTCCACCGGATCCACGGTGGGCTCAAGGACAAGACTTTCGTGCACTATCTCATATTTGTCATCGTTCTTGTAGACGTACTCGTCGTGGTCCAACTCGAGGCTCGTAAGCACCCGCGTCGCGTGCCAGCTCTGCCGCGCCTCCAACTCTCTGCTCGAGTCGCACTGCGAGGCCTGTAAGGGGCCATTAGCTTCCGTTGCGTCCAAGCTCAAGGTCCTTTTGAAGCGTCTGGCTGTGGCCAAGAAGAACGGATTCGAGATCGACGACGGTCTGGTCTGCGTCTGCTGCGAAACACACCACAGTATGGCAACCACGATCTGTGATGAGTGCGACGAAGAGCTTCCGGACGATCAAGAGAAGCTGCGCATCCTACTGCTGCGCATCGAGCAAGCCACCAAGGCGTAGGTTATTGACATCGCTACGATGATGGACTGCGTCTACATGTTTGAGAAAGAAAATGCAATCGTGATGTATAAATCCTTGCCTTTTCTCAAAAATAATGCACCATCCAATGTCATGACGTGGCGCGCCACGCAACAAGTCCGTTTTCTCGTATTGGATACTCATTAGTAGGTCGAATTGTAGCCAATGGGAGAAGAATATCAAGTGGTCGCCAGATCACACCATCCTTTTGTCCACTGCAAACATGCTGGAACTCTATTGATGAGATTACATTTGTCTAGTTACACCATGGGATGCCATCCTTGACTTAATGACGGAATGGACGTCTGCGAGAGTCGCTCCGTCGATGGAACGTCGTGCAAATCGCAGTAGATAGCGTCCACGTCGTCGTAGGACATGTTGTCCATTGTCATCAAGTCGCCTTCGAACAAGAACCGACGAGGCGGCGTCACCGTCTCGTACTCGGACGCACTTGGATCGTGCTTGCAAAACGACTGAACGCGAGCCGGCTGCTGCTGTACGCACGCACTGCAGAAGAAGAAGAGTGTCTTGGGACACATTCGACACATGCTGCGGCGACCGACGATCGGCTTGCGGCACGCCGTGCACGGCTCGCACCACGTCTCGGGCGCTGGATCGTTCGTCGAGAAGACAAAGGCACGGACGCGGGCGAGGGCGTCCTTGCGTAGACTGGACAATGTGGGCCGGTCGACGGCAAAGTGGTAGAGCAACAACAAGTTGTCCTTGCTCGGGTGGCTCTCGAGGTTGCACGTGTAGTAGGCCAACGCCAATTCATCGTTGCCAGCCATCCAGTAGGCCAGCCCCAAGTTGACCCGCACTAGACATTCGGATGGTGAGGGCCCCACAAATTGAGATACCGTACCATCATGAAGCTGGTCGCGCAGCTGGCGCGTGAGCTTGGCGCGCTGGAGCAAAGACGCTTCGAGTTGGAGGAGAAGCGCCATGGCTTCTGGTACGCTGTCGGTCATGAGCTGGAGCGCTGCGACGTTCATCTTGTGAACAATGGTGTCGCTGTTGTCGGGTCCGAGCGTCCGCTCCGCAGTTGCCGCGACCCGCTGACTCAATGGCAGCGCCATCGTTAGCTGACCCATGTGCATGTACGCACCCACAAGGAACGATGTGGTCACCGTTGTAATCGCGTGGTCGGGACCGAGAGTAGCGTCAAGTATCGCCAGCGCTTTTCGGAGCCAGCGCGCGGCGACACGGGGGATGCCGCGTCCAGAATAGATGGCACCGATACTCTTCATCTTGGTGGCCGTGCGCTGGTCGTGGAGGCCGTACTTGTGGCGATAGATACTGAAAAGCTCCAAGTGGAGCGACAAGGCCATGTCCGAGTCGTGGTTCCAGCCGAGTGCAAGCGCATAGCTTGATCGCGCGTGGAGCGTCGAGTCGTGCGTCTCGCCAAAAAGCTCGTTCGCTGCTTGGATCGTTGCAAGACTCAGTGGTTCCCACTCGCTGCGCGGCTTGCGCTGGTACGCGATGCAATAGGCCAACGTCGCCTGCGCATGAAGTGACTCGACGGCGTATCGCCCTTTCGCAAGCGCAAACAAGTCGACAGCGTGGCGGAAGCAGCGCTCAGCGTCGGCATGTTCGAACTCGCCGAATTGGATGGCACCGAGGTGGGCCCATCGCTGGGCCTTGGCGACAGGCGTTGGCGCCGATGCGATCGACGCTTCCAACGTCGTCTTCATCCAGTTGGATAAAGTGGAAAAGATGAGCCGGTCGACGGCGATGAACGACGTCTCGGCGCGAATCAAGGCGAAAATACCGTCGCGGTCACTTGGCACGGTCGCCTCCGAGTCTTCGCTCTTGATCGTCGCCAGCATCTTGTCGAATGCATCGTGGCGAGCAATGTCGTTGAGAAACGTGGCTTCTTGATCTCGCGCCAGTGCAATCTCAAAGCGCGCGCCCATGGTCACGGCCACGTAGACCTCAAAGACGCACCAGCTTCGCCGAAGCACGATCGGGTCGTTCCACGGATGCATGATCATGACCACGTTGCCGATGGCTGCGAGACCATTCTTGAACGTTGTCGACCAGTACTCGAACGGGTACGAGCTCGCGAGGTGTTGGTTGTTGTTGAAGACGCAAAACCAAATGACCGCGTCGTCGGTGAGACCGCGGTCGGCGAAGAAGCGCTCGAGGCTGTCGACGGTCTCCAAGAAGAGGTACATCCAGGCGTGCGAGACATACCAATTGGCTGGCGCGACGAACGAAGCGGTCGTTGGGTCGTTGGCGACGTGGTCGACGAGCGAGAGCTCGGTTGGCTTGGTCAGTGGCACGACAAACTCAAAGCAGACTTGAGCTGTCGTCTTGCCGGCAAAGCTGGTTTCGCCGCCATGCTCGTTGATAAAGTGGCGCAGGTACGAGAGGCGGAGACCGCGGTCGGGCGATGGCATCGGGACGTGGAGCAAGGAATGATGCTGCACAAAACCACAGCGCTTACTGGCAACTGCTGCGTATCGACGTGGATTTCACCAGCCGGTGACCGCCTGAGCCATGTGCAGCGATTTTCTCGAGCACCACTCGTGCGACAGAAACGTGGTCTCCCGTGCATTTGTTTCAACACTGGCGGAAAGATAGAAGAGCGTTGACAGTGGAACTGGACGAGCCGACGAGTCGTACGGCGCGCAGAATGTGCGGCTACAGTACTGTACGCACATGCTACGAGCACGTAGTTGACTAGACGGCCAGGAGTTAGACTGATGGCAACCAAAAACTGTCGGTGGTCCGAACCGACGATAGGATATCGCCCTGGCACTAGTCATGCGTTATACCTGCGCGTGGAGCTCTGCAAGTGCGCCTCTCGGCGATGTTCAATACAAGTAGCCACCAGCTAGTTCCAGCGATGAGTTTCAGTTACTATACATAGCAACGGAGCCGCTCGCTCAGCAGCACATATCGCCCAGAGACAAGTCTCAGATTTTGTGCAGCACGCGGAAGAGACACAGAGTTGCACCCGTTCGTGCCACTATGCCGATCGAGTCAAGGGTTGTTATGTCGGCAATATTGATCAAGAACAGTACGGAAGAGTTCAAACCGTGCGATCGATAAGGCTCGTCGAGCGCCATGGCGTTGCAACCGACCTTGATCTCTTTTTTGTGCAAAGGATACGCAGCGACTTTGACGTTGTTTGAAAGGAATCGTATGTCACGTCAACAGCTGGTGATCATCATTCTGTTTCAGGTGTAATCGTGACCAAGGGTCATGCTTTTTATTGACCCTTATCGTGACGTCCGCAAAGCCACGCAGTATCAATCCTTCCCCACCGACGACGGATGGCTTCCCCGGACCGCGGCGTCCGCCTCTCGTACCTGCGCCACTTTATCAACAGCCATGGCGGCGAAACCAGCTTTGCTGGCAAGACGACAGCTCAAGTCTGCTTTGAGTTTGTCGTGCCATTGACCAAGCCAACCGAGCTCTCGCTCGTCGATCACGTCGCCAACGACCCAACGACCGCTTCGTTCGTCGCGCCAGCCAATTGGTATGTCTCGCACGCCTGGATGTACCTCTTCTTGGAGACCGTCGACAGCCTCGAGCGCTTCTTCGCCGACCGCGGTCTCACCGACGACGCGGTCATTTGGTTTTGCGTCTTCAACAACAACCAACACCTCGCGAGCTCGTACCCGTTCGAGTACTGGTCGACAACGTTCAAGAACGGTCTCGCAGCCATCGGCAACGTGGTCATGATCATGCATCCGTGGAACGACCCGATCGTGCTTCGTCGAAGCTGGTGCGTCTTTGAGGTCTACGTGGCCGTGACCATGGGCGCGCGCTTTGAGATTGCACTTGCGCGAGATCAAGAAGCCACGTTTCTCAACGACATTGCTCGCCACGATGCATTCGGCAAGATGTTGGCGACGATCAAGAGCGAAGACTCGGAGGCGACCGTGCCAAGTGACCGCGACGGTATTTTCGCCTTGATTCGCGCCGAGACGTCGTTCATCGCCGTCGACCGGCTCATCTTTTCGACCTTGACGAACTGGATCAAGACGGCGCTCGAGGCCTCGATCGCATCGACGCCAACGCCTGTCGCCAAGGCAGCCCGGTGGCTCCAACTCGGCAGCATCTACCAAAACGAAGTCGACTTCGCCGAAGGCGAGCGCTGCTTTCGGCGCGCAGTCACCTTGTTTGCAGAGTACCGGGGTCCATTCGACCATGATACGCTCCAGACGCAGGCGTTGCTGGCGTATGCCATCGCGTACCAGCGCAAGCCTCGACGCGAGTGGGAACCGTTGAGTCTTTCGACGATCCGCGATGCCTCCGAGCATCTTGGGGCGACACACAACGTGACGCTTCATGCGCGGTCGAGCTACGCGCTGGCGCTCAGCTGGAACGACGACGACGTCGCGGCCTTGGCGGTTCACATGGACCTCTACGACATTTGGCGCCACCAGTACGGCATTCGCGACTGGCACACGGCAGGGACCATGAACAAGATTGGCCTGTGCCACTTCAAGCTCGGCGCTCCCCGTGTTGCGGCCCGCTGGCTGCAAAAGTCCTTGCCGGTGCTGGAAGCTCACTTTGGTGTCGACCACTCGGAGACGACACAGACAACATCGTACCTCGCTGGCGCGTACACGTACTCGGGCCAGCAGCTCAAGGCCCTGCCGCTGCAGCAACGACTTGTCGAGACGAGCGAGCGCATTCTGGGAGCCGACAACCCCGACACGATCGTTCACAAGATGAATGTCGCGATTCTTCAGATCCTGGCCGGTCATACCCGCGATGCTGCGGCGCAGCTCCTTCCGCTCGAACGCTCGCTCGCATCTCGCGCCATGCAGTCCCAGCAGCTGTCCGACCAGCTTCGCGACGGTACTGTCTATCGATCGATCCATTTCGCGGTTCTTGGAAGCTAACATGCAATATTGTCTAGTGCGGGTCAATTTAGCGCTGGCGTATTTCCTGGACGTTGACTACGACGCCGCCATGCCCTATTATGCACACATTGTCGACTCGCATCCAGACAAAAATACGTGTCGCTCCTCTTCCTCTGTGCGCTCGGTGCGACACCATCCGAGACGCGCACCGCGGCACTGGCCCGCGTCCGGTTGTTTGTCACGACCACCGACGACCCGGTGCCCGAGATGTGGACTCGAAAATGCGACGTCTGCGCCGCGCTCATTGTCGGTGGCCGCGTCACGTGCACAACCTGTCTGAAATCGGAGCATGTGTTTTGCAGAGGTTGTCTGCAAGGCCAGCCAAATGTCATCCGTTCGCTGTGTGCCCACGATGCACCGCAATACCAGGTGACGCCGCCGCCCCGCCGCTACTTTTACGAAGCCGACTTGATGGCGATGAATGATGCACCGTTTGACGCCGTTGACGCGGCGTACGAAGAGTATTGTGCATTTTGCGATACGCACGACGTGCCGATGACGGAGCGACTGCATCGAACGTCTCTGCCGTCCTTGTGCCGCGACTGGCACCCCATGGTCTAATTTAATTGAAAGGCCAACGAAAGGTAGATTTTGTCGCGATACATTCCAGTGTAGACAAGAGATCAAGTTCACTCGGTGACTTATCTATACATCGGTGCACGTAAATTAGTACGCGGATTGATTCGAGTCTCGTATCCATCGTCCGGGGTAGGTAGGGCTAGGGCAATATGGCTTGGTAATGCGACAACAAGCAGTAAACAATACCAGTATGCTATATACATGAGCGCCGGCACATATAGTCTAGTGTAGGGCGCCACCTCTATTGTTGTACATAAAGATTCCCATCGATAATGTCCTTGCACACGGTTGCCACGTCGATTTTATTCGTTGATACTTTGATATTTTTGTCATGATCGGCACTTGGGTCTCTGTTGACGTAGCGCTTAGAGCATAGGTTATATCTATCAGACAACCTGAGCTACTGTATCTTGAACGGCCTTGGTTGCGACCGTTGCGCTTCTTTCTCGTTTATGGTTATGGCACGACGCAATCGCTTGTCGCAACCCGACACACCCCAACTCGACACACCTCGACCCCCGAGACTCGCACAACCCAAGAGCACAAACATAAATCGTATGTCTCTGCCACCACAGCACTTGTTGACTCGACAGCAAATTTACGGTAGTATGTAGGCTGCAAAGCAAGTAACGTAAGCGCTATTAGATGCACCACACGGATGGTGAGGCCGCTCGATGCATCGCGTACGGCTTGTTTGGCGGTGCAGACCCCGCGCCTTTGTCCCGAAGAGCAAATAACGGGGCCGGGCGCAAGAGGTTGACGACAAACTCGGAGGGCTCGGCGCTGTGTGCGATCACTTTGTCGGCGTTGCGTCGGTCTAAGCACTGCAGCAAGCTCACTCGCAAGCGCTCGTAGAGCTGGCCGTCGCAATAGCACAGCACAAAGCAGTCGGTCGCGCGCAAGTTGATGGTCGGTGTGGCCTTGAGCTGCGGAAATGCCTCCATGATTGCGTGCACGGTGCCACCGCGCGCCGTTTGCCGGGGCGGGCGACGTCGCAGAGTGCCCAAGGCGACTCGGTTCTTGATATTGTTGTAGTAAAAACTAGCATAATCGATCTCAGTCTTTTTCTTTTTTGCGCGCTTGGCCGTGTCTACTGGATGCATCAACATTTAGATAAGTTGACAACGACGACGATGCATACCAAAGTACGGGGTGGTGAGACCATAAAGCAGCGGAATACTCGCGATCAATTGAACATAGACGATGCATCCGAGACAGGACTCGATCACGTGATTGGCCGATGCGGTCGGCACACCAACGGTGAACGTCCATTGGTACAGCCACGTGAAGACCGGAATGTGTCCGTTCATCCACGTCAACAGTGGGCCGTAGACCATGACGGCAATCGCCAAAACCGTCGGATCCACGTCCGCAAACACATGCTCCTTATGAAAGCGCTTGAGACCATACGAGACGAGGCAGAGGCTCCAATAGGCAAACCACACCTAGTCGACCATATAGAAGACTCGAGACCAATCGAATATCGATCGAGACGTACGGTGCGGGAAAGGTACCATGTGCTTCGAAACACATGTTCGAGGCTGCCCGACTGCGCGACTTGCATGATCGCAACCGCGAGGTTGGTGACGCTGAGCCAAATATCCAAGAAATACAACGTCGCGACGGAGGGGTCCATAAGAATGATGGCGGTTGGGTCCCCAACCACGAACTCGTACGACCAGACGCCGCTCGGCAGCGTCGCGCGGTGCCCTCGCCCTTGCAAGACCCTCTTCAGCGCCCACACGTGCTTGTAGTACCCGTGCCAGAGCCGATACCACACAAAGAGCGTCGACGCAATGCGGTAGCCAAACTTGAACCAGATCCACGGACCGAACCGCGACTCGTAGTAGACATAAGTGAGTGTCATGGCCGTTGCATCTGTGCTTTCTCGGTGGACAACGTTGCCAGGTAGAAGCCAAAAGCACACATGGCCCGTCGAGAGTGTGCACAGCGTGGCTTGAAAGCACGACCCTTGCGCGGCCCAGTCGATAGCACTCGCGTTCGGTGCCGTCATGGCCACGCAGAGCATCTCCATGGTGCGGTTGGTGTAAAACACGAGCCCCGGAAGACCTGGGAGCTGGGTGTTAAAGCACGTAGAGAACGACATACTGGGCGGTTGCCCCAAGTGCAGAAGCGCGCGGGCCACTTGGGCGTTGTTGGGCTTGTCCACAAGGTACAAATTGCCATCCGGTATCGTTGTGTTCGAGTACGTTGCGCGGCTGCGGTCGAGCTCCGTCGACACGAAATCGGTGTAGTTGGCGTACGAGAGGGGCGGCGAGAGCTTGCCTGTCCACGGAAGATACTCGGAGATGTAGGCCGTGAGCGGCTGCATACGGTCATGAGAGCGCGGGAGTCAAATGGATGGAGCGTACCACGGTTGACACTTTGAGAAACGAAGCGACGCTTAGCCACCACGCGAGACGGTTCCAACGGACGCGACGACCGAGGGCAGAGACGTCGGCCACCCTGCCTCGCCCCATGTCGCCTTTCCTTGGAATGGAGCTGCCGATACTATCTTTGGCGTGTAACCCTATCCCTATATGTTTTTCTTGGTAACAGACACTAACGGGCAGCGCGAAAGCCTTGGACAAGGTGAAAAGTGTACGCACTATGTATGCTGGGTCGCCGGGCACTTCGAGAAAATTGGATCTGTATAGACATAGAGCTTTCACTGAGTATGCTTCTTCCTGCATCGCATGAGTGCAAGGCACTATGCTAGATCAATGACTGCTTGTTGACGCTGTAGCCAGGTACGAACGGTCGCACCGTGATTGCCCTAAAAGGCATAACGCTGTCTTGGCACAAACTGAAGTAGCGGGTCGGTGCTACGAAATTGGGCCAGCACATTCCCGTTTTACAATGTATTCCCGGCACGAATAACATACATTAGAACATACAACAAGACAATGTGACCAAAACTGGAAAAATATGTCATCCATTCACAAAAATCACCACTGGGTGCCATTCGCGGCGCAATCGCCAGCGTCAAAGTTGCACTCGCGGTTGTAGCAGCCGCGCTCGCACACATTGTTGCCACGCGCGAGGTTGGAGCACGTGGGTCCGCACACGGCGTCGCAGCCGTCGCCACCAGCGAGACAGAACGGACTGCCATCAACGAGCACCTGCCGCGCCGCAATCCGTGCCGCGACCTCGTCGGACGTGACCTTGTCAATCGGATTGTTGCTCAAATCCAGCACGAGCGCCGGTTTGGCCGCTAGCAGCGCATACGGCAACGTTGGCACTCGGTTTTGGGCCATCTGGAGACGGCTCAGCGCCGGGAGCGCGAGTAGCTCATGCTCGGGGATCGAGTTGAACTGATTCGACGAAACATCCAACCGCTCGAGGGCGCGGAGCTCGTGAATCCAGTTGGGCCATTCTTGCAGGTGGTTGTCGTGCAGGAGCAGTGCAGCGAGGTTGGCCCACGACGACGGCCGCGTCGGCGGCAGCGTCGATGTCGTTAGACTCTGAGAAAGTGTCAGTGTCTGGCAGTAGGTTGGTAGCACCGACAAGGCGGGTGGGATGTCCATAAACGGCGTATCGTAAAAATTGAGCGACAGCACATTGGGTGGCCATGCCGTGTTGGGTGGCAGCGACCAATTGGTCATGATCTGCGCCGACTGCACCGTGAGTCCGTAGAGCTGCGGAAATTGCGACAACGTCGAGAAATTGAGTCCGTCGCGCAGTGGACAGCGCACCCACTGCACGTAAAACAGCATCGAACCGAGTTGTTCGGGCGAAAAGAGGTTCGTTGTGTACGCGACGTTGGTGTCGTTGCACTCGATGCGAAGCAACGCACACGTACAGCTGTTCGTCCACCACGGTGTTGTCACCATGCCGCACTCAGGGGGGCAATGGGGGGGTGCCATCAGGATGCTCAACCCAGCAATCGCCGACACAAGACCAATCGAAAACGAGTACAACACAAGGCCGCGTTTGACCCACCGACGCCACACGATATACCGTGCGGGTTTCGAAGGGGTCCACCTCTCGAAGGACGCGACGAGCGGACCAATCGCGCGAGTGGTCATCGCGGTGGGGGCCACGACCGACGAACGCATTAGCGTCATCGGGTCGACCAGTTGTCGGACGTTCCATAGACTGGCCGAAAACAAAATGACCTTTTCCAGCAAATCCAGAGCGGAATTTGGCGCCAAAAATCGGGTCAGGAGCGTGTAGCGCACCGTCCAATTTGACGAATACCCGACGCGCGGGTCCACAAATTTAGCGACAAGGAGCGCGGGCACCACGACAACAAGGTAAAACCCCGTCGAGAGCCCAAAGCTTGTGAGGCTGTTGACCAAGCGGGCCGCGTCCGACCGTGCCGGCCACGGCGTCGAGACGGCGGCAAGGCTCACGAGAAAGGCGTACGCGACGCAGACGTCGACGTCGACGGTATACTTGCTGAGTCGCCAGGCCTGCAGGAGCTGGACGGTTGTTTCCACCACGTTGCCGAGTTGGACGACCCGGGACGGCACCGAAAGGCTGCGCCAGCGGATCGGCGTCAACGATCGACGGCAGCGGATCGGTACAAACAGCGAAATCGCACCGAGCAAGTGGGTGAAAGCAAAGCCCATGTACAAGGGCGCACTCAGCGACGTCATGGCGTAGACTTGGAATTTGACTTGGTCCGACGGCTTTGCAAAGAGCATGATGAGGCCCAAGAGGAGGAGGTACACGCATGATGCGACGTGCTTGAGGAGCGCGACGGCGACGAAGATGCACCGCATTCCGCGAAATGGCGCGAGGACGAAAATAGGATTCCGATCAAAACGGTAAAGTGTCCTTTTTACGTGGAGAGCGAGCAAGAGCTAGTTCAAGACACGACCTAAACTATCCCTTTCATTCGCCAAACTCGCTCGTCGCAAAGTGCTAGGGCGAGTGGTATGACTATGGCCGTCGGATTTTGGCGCCAGGATCCCACCACCGTGTATGCACGCTTGATATCTTGAAACTAGTACTCGATAGATACTTGATACAATCACGTCAACCGGGCACGCCAGGACTTTCAAATCATAAACTTTTGCTAGCGATCGCAGCAGTTTACGCAGCGCTTCGAGAGAGGGGTCGCTTGAAGCACGCCGAAGTCGAACACCAACTTCAACGCGTGCTTCAACGCGGTGCCAGCTTAAAGAATTCGATTTTCACATGCCCGATCGGATTGGCATGAGGCACGAGCCGCTGCTTCTGACCACATCAACGTCTTTTGCCCAGGATGCGTTTTTCTCTTCCAAACCTTTTTGTACGCCGAGCGTTGGGAGGCGGCTGTCGAGTCCTGTGTGCGATGACGAGGCCGCGTCAACGCTACTGACTACTGCCTTACTAGCCAAGAGAAATGCATGTACTAGTAGTACACATGTAGTTGTCTGTGCTAGTGCTGTGGCACATCGGTACAACGTGAACCCTCCATCGTAGACAGTCGTTGAGCTACCGTTGAGAGCCTGTCTTTCGATCTGGTTTAACCTACCGGGTCTTGGAATGTCTAAATGCACGCAGTTTTAAATCGCCCTCGCAGAGTTCCCAGCAGTGTGCTGACACCAATCGTCCCATCGCCAAGCGATCACGTTCAAGCACGTTCCAAACAAACAACAACGCTTTACTACAGAGCTCCTTCGACCCCTACGCTACTAGTACGGTCCACGATCGTCGTTGACCTAGCACACACTCTACGGTGTTTATGACCTTCTATCGTTCGTCGACGTAACATCCAGCCAACAGCCTTTCCTCTGCAGGACCCTATCACCCTCGACCAAGGCGACAGACAGCCGCCTTGCCCTCTATCCGCAGGTTGGCGGCCTCGCAGGCGACTGCAGAGTGGCGTGTCGTCAGACACCGAGCGCTGGCGGTGGTAATAGAACCCACGTTGAACCCGACCGCGCCGCGTTTAACCCGTTGCTACGGTCGCCGACGATTGCGCGAATCAACAATTGCGGTCCATGTGGCGATCCACGACGACGCGCCGAAATGTGTCCTAGTTCTAGGCCAATTCAGCTTTTTTCAGTACAATCAGGCATCGAATGTTTTTAAACCACGCCTGCCCATATATTAGAGAAGGTATTTTTATAGATCGAATGGATCCGAATCCAAAAACCCATTGTCCTACGACAAGGCGCATGATGGCCTCATATTAGGGAGCTCGATGTCCCATAGATACCTCCAGTAGCATCCCACCCAGGTGCATTTTAATGCGCCCAAAACGCCAAACTATACAAACAATACGTTATTAAATAAAATGCTACACCATATCCAGCGACCAGAGTGGGCGAGGTTGTGTCATTCGTCAACTTGCCGCCCGGTCCTTACCATGCAGCTCATCGTCGCGCTCTCTGCGCTCCTCGCCAGCGCCGTCCAGGCTGCCACGTACCCTGCGTATACGATCCCGGCCGTGGACATGGCCGCGCCGGCGGCGGCCGCCGAGACCATCGAGGCGCTCCGGGCCACGGGCATCGTGGCGTTCAAGAACATTGACGGCTTCGAGGCCGCGCGCCTGGCCTACGTGGAGGCGGCGGCGCGCTGCGTGGCGACGCCGCATGCGGACGTCATGCGCAAGCTCATGGTCGATGGCACGACGCGGCGAACGCTTAGCACCAACGTGGACGTGAGCACGGTGCCGGCGAGCTTGCTCGCATCGTGCCCCGAGTACGTCGCCGCGCTCGGGTCGTTCAACGCGGTCTTGAACACGGCGACGCTCACGTTTGCCAAGCTTCTCGATGCGACCACGCAGACGTCGCTCGTTCAGGACATTGTCGAGCAGGGCAAGCACCTCGAGCACTTCCACGCGTACACCAACCCGGCGTCGGCCGACGCTGCGGTCGACAACCAAGGTATTACACGAAACATCGTCCTTGCACGCATGGTATCTCACGCGGAGGCACAGAGTTCTCGCTCGAAGCGCACACGGACCTCGGCGGCGGCCTCTTCACGTCGGCGCCCGTCTTCTTCAACGCGGAGCACCACGTGATTGCCAACCCGGACCCGACGACGGGTCTCTACATCCAGATCCAGAACGAGTGGGTGCAGCCGATCCTCAAGTCGGACGAGCTCGTCTTCATGGCTGGCGAGGGCTGGTCGCAGTGGATTGCGACCGACGACTTGGCGTTCCCGGCCGTCGTCCATGCCATGCGCATGCCCCGTGATGCGTCGTCCGACATTGTCCGCGGCTTCCACGGGCGCATGCTTCTCCTCTCGGACGAGATGGTCATGCGCAACAACCACTTGCGCTTCGCCGACTTCAACGCCCGCAACACGCGCTACCTCAAGGCGCCGCTTGCCGACGCCAAGTTTCCGACGCTCGCATGTGCATCGCGCCAGCTTGTCGCCTCCGACTCGAGCTGCACGCTGGGTATCTGGGCGCCGGGCAATGCGAGCGCGGCCTCGACGACCTCCGACATGTGCATGTTCCACTGCAATGCGATCGGCATGCCGGAAGATACGCAAACGTGCAAGGACCTTGGCTGCGTCAAGGCCTCCGACGTGCCCAACGGCGGCACCGAATGCTGGATGGTAGGCTATCCAACGTATCCAGTTGAAAGGTTGATACGTTGATAGATTTGCGTGCAAAAGTACTCGGACGCCGAGTGCCCGGCGCCCAAGGCGCAGACGTGCAAGGACCAAAAGCTCGCGTGCGACAAGGTCGTCTTGACCAAGGCGCCCATGACCAACGCGACGACGACGGCGCCGACGATTACGACTGCGACGCCCAAGGCCACGTCCGGCGCTACCTCGGTCCTCTTGTCGATGGCGACCCTTGTCCTTGCGGTCGCCGCCATCTAACGCGTCAACCAATCGAGTTCGTTTTGCCTATGGAATGATGTTAGTTCGGGTGTCGATGAGCTGGCACCGCGCAGCCAGAAAGGCCGGTCGATCTCACATGGGTCGATCTGGCCTCTTCGCTCATTGCAGCTCTTTTCCACTGTTTCTTCCAGTGTAATATACAGTGTATCACGCCGTGGCATCGATCTCGAACGGCAGCAGGCGCCGCACCGAAAGGCCGCAGACAGCGCATGCTCCGATTGGTGTTATGATCGAAGCGAGAAGAAGCCCACGAAGAGGAAGCTCGGCGACGGAAGCCCACCGTCGACTGGACTCTGGATCGGAGTAATCGTCAACACCGACGGTTATGTTGACCGTTGGAAAGACGCCAATCGATAACTGCGCTGTCTATTCCTGCTCAACCATTCTACTAAACCCACTACTACTACGCCTGCGTGATTTCTCTTATCAGGCGCTTCGTCCACATGTCCGGCAAGCGCGCGAGGCTACGCTACGGCGCCTATGCCATCGCGATCCTCAAGTACGTGATCTCGGCGGCCTACTGCCTCATCCTCGGGTACCTCGTGGGCTTCTCCCTCACAACCGAGCAGCTCGCCGTCCAAGTTTTCGCCGGCCCGACGCTGACGGCGCCGCTCTTTTTTAGCTTTGGGCTGCTCAATCTCGCGGGCATTCTGGATATTTTGCTGCCGCGCTGTTGTCGACGGCGGACTCTGTCGTCGTGGCGCTGTCATCTCGAGTGGCTACCCTCGTTTGGCTTGCTCAGTGCACCGCGGCTCGCTTTGCAAGCCTTCGTGACGGCCGCGCAGGTGCTGCAGGCGTACCACCTTAGCGAGCGCGCCGTCAACACACACCTCGCTACCATGAATGCGATTTTGGTCGGGGTCTCGGCGATCGCGAGCTCGCTGCTGCTCTTGTATGCAGCGTCGCACCCGGACCAAAAACACTATTCCCTCTTCTTTACAAGTCTCTCGAGCTTTCTACTCACCACGGGGATTGCCTTTGCGTTTGTCGTCGTTCCCGTCGGGTATGTGCAAGTCTATGACCTCAAGGCCATCAACTCGCTCGCGTGGGGCACCGAGTATACGCTCCTCATCCGGTACCTCGTGCCCAACTCGCCACTGGATTTGCTCGAGAAAATGACGCTGCGCCTGGCGAGCTGGGTCAACGTCCAGCGCCTCCTTCGCGCCGTCGCACCCGACGTGACGACCACGGTGGCGGCGTCAACAATGATGAGCTTTAGCCCGCTCGGCCCGTCGCTCACTGCGGTGAAGCGAGCAGTGGACCGACCGCGCCGCCGACTCCTCTTCATTTATGTTGCTTTCCACATGCTTCTCGGTGCGACCGTTGTTATATATGCGATCGTGCACGCCTGCCGACGACCCACCTGTCCGAGCGACTGCCGCCTCGCGACCGCGCCGTGGTTTAGCCGCGCGTGTCACTGTACCTACTACCACCTCGAGTGTTTCGACCCGGACGATGCCGTGCACTTATCCCCCGAGTTTCTCGGCCCCGACCTTTTCCACGTGCAGCTGACCGGGTGTCGATTGGAGCACGGGTTCAATCTCTCACTCTTGGCGCCGTTTGAAGCGCTCTTTGGCCTCACGATTGAGTTTTCGAATCTCACCGACTGGCCTCTCGGCCCAAACGGGTGGCCCGACCAGATCATGGCCGTCAACGTCCGCTACTCCAACCTCTCGGCGATACCGCAAGCGTTGACGACACTACCGGCGCAGTGCAAGACACTAACGATTGCGGGGAGTGCGCACCTGGACTCGCTGCCGGCGTCGCTCGTGTCGTCGTGGCGCCACTTGGGGTCGCTAATTCTCAACAGCAACCAGTTGACCGCCGTGCCGAGCTGGCTCGGTGGGCTCACGGGTCTCGAGGTACTCGTGCTCTCTGGCAACCAGATCCAAGTCGTTCCGGACACGATGCTAGCAGCGATGCCATCGCTCACCTTTCTCAAGCTAGCTCAAAACAACCTCACGGCGTTTCCTATGGACCTCTTTGCTTCGAGACCCGAGCTGGACATGGATCTGAGCAACAACCCGATACCTCCACTCCCGAGTCTCCCGTCGGCGTTGGTGCGCGCCATCACGTCGGGATCGGTTGTTCTGGACGGCACGCCACTCTGTGCTTCGCTCGGGAGTGCTTGCAACGGCGGATGCTCGCCGACCTGCTCCCGGTCCGAGCTCGGCGACCGTGTGTGCCAGCGCAACTGTTTCGACGAAGCTTGTGCATGGGACCTTGGCGACTGCGCGGGCGGTGGCTCGCAGTGAGGCACGCCTTTATGGATCGATGACGCACTGAGCACAATAATGTAGTGCGCCATAATGTAAGACAGTTTTGACACCGTGTGGACGAACGGACTTGCAACTACTTGAGGAGCTAATACATGGGAGGCAGCATGCGTTTGTTTTAGGCATGCTTGCTGGCATATGCCACGTATTGCATTTTACAGTGTAGTATCGGCACATCATGCCGCTTATAGGATGCAATAGTGTTTTTTCGGAGGATCAAATCCACATACGATTACAAAGATGTGACTTTTACATATTTTAAATGCTATTAAGCGGATTTCATTGGTTATTTCTAAATGTTTTTTACGAATCAGATGTCATTGAGAGCTGGTGCCGCCGCCCCTGCGTCGTCGAGTGCTGCGAGCGACCGAATCACGTTTCAAAATAAAATCGCTCAAACTTGACACATCGATAAAAGACATTTTGGACACGAAATGCTATGCCCCGCTGCCGTGTGAAGTGTATAGCGAGAGCAATCGTGGAAACTGTTGCATATGGCAAATGCCATATATAACCACATCTAGCCACATTGTGGTGTATCTTCGGTCCAGCGACACAAATCACGAAAACCGAGGCTCATCTCACAAGGGGCGTCGCTGGAGAGAGCTTCGGGTGCGTTGCCGCTTGATAACGTGCCCGATGCTGAGAGATTTTCTTGTCGTCGAAACTCTTCGCCGTCCTATACCTGCACCTCCAGCCTCCAGGTCAATCTACTGTATAGTGCTGTACAACTGGTACCGTGTCCCATTGCTCTTCCAAGGAATAGTGGTCGCTTATGTACATCTCGTGTTAGTGCTACAGTACTAAAACGTCGCTCCTTAACTCGATGTTTGCGAGCGCAGACGAGTCATGTCCTTTCTGATTGGTGTCCTTGCAACCTTTCCGCAGCCTGCGCTAGCGTGCGCGGGTTACAGACCTAGAGCAGCTCACAGAAGCGAAGCGTGCGGCATAGCTGTGCGGCATACACTGACGGGGTCGGTCTGAGCGCTCTCAGGTATATGTCTATACATTCTCATATGCAATATATATTATCCGGAGTATCTCAATATGGCTCTAATTTTTTAGATTTAATGAGACGGTCGTGGTGAAAACGAAGCCAATCAGCGGCAAGATCGCACAAAGATACGCGCCCAAGAGCGCCAGGATGCAGCGCAGGACGGGGATATGCTCGCCGTCGCCGTCGCCTTTGGCGTCCTCGCGGCGCTCCTCAGCGCCCTCTTCCTCCTACCGAGTCGCTACCTGCCGTACTCTGTGACCGCGTCCAGCATCGAAGTGCCACCTGGCAAGACAGGCGGCGAGGCCATGTACGCGTACTGCTTGCACCAGCACACGGCCGCCCGCCGCGCGTCGCTCGAGGCTGCGACCGCCATGACGCGGCACGCCGAGTGGCTCGTCTACATTGGCATATTGGCGTCCGCCGTGTCCAGCTACATGCCCCTGGCGTATGTTGTTTTCGGCAGCGGCAGCTTTGTGCTGTGGCACGTCGCGTCCTTCTGGCGCTGCGACGTCCGCCGACGCCAGCACGACGTCGACGCTGACCAATGGGCCGCGGCGTCGCCTTGCGTGCAGGCTTTTCTCGCTCGGGCCATGCCCTCCAACGCGCCTCTCAAGACGCCGCACGCGTGGTGGTGATCAATCTATTGTCCATGTCTACCTCGTACTTGCTCGTATCCCCTATGTATAAACGTGTTTCGCGTTTTCTTTTGAGGCACAAAGCCCTTGCATACGTAGAGGCAAACAATCTCCTTCTACTGCTTGACTCGCTCGCTTGCTGGGCGGCGGCGGCGGCGGCGCGGGAGCTTGTACTTGCTCATCTTGAATCGTCGCGAGGCGCTTGTGGCCGCGAGGGAGGCCCATGACGACACACTTTAGCTTCCAAGCGTCGTGGTCTAGAGTTACACAGGCTATCGAGGTCCGCGATAGACGCCAGCGACAGAGGTGGCGCCCGTAAATGATCTTTCTTTCCAATGTGTTGGCGTTGAAATCAAATGCAGCAACGACGAACACAAAGACTTTCGATAACGCTGCTCTGGGATGCGTAAGAGATGGCGTCAGCACGTGGTCGTTGCGAGTTCGCTGCATATTTCGTCATCCATCCGACCCCACTCGCCGAGAGCACGCTAAATATATATTCGAAACCTGTTTTAGCGCTGCACTTTTTGACCGAGAGTCCACAGCCGTGTCCTCTCCCACGACGCCATACTAGCTTGGAGGATGATGCAACGCAATAGCCGCGTCCTCGCCGTGCCGGCAGCTGTAGCAACAGGACCGGCGCCGCCGTCGATCGAGTACACTCTGCGCCGTCCGTTCCTTATCATCAGTTTTCTCAAGTTCATTGCGTCGGCAGTCTACCTCGCGCTCGCAAGCCTGCTCATGATCACGGGGACACCGTCGACAGCGATCAAGTTTCAAATCTACGCCATGCAGACCGCGTCGGGTCCGCTGTATGCGGCGTTCGCACTCTTGCACTTGGTCGCTGCCATCGAGATGCTTTTACCGGCGCGCTGTCGACGGCTCCACGCCGCAAGCGGCACCTCACTTCTTCGCAAGGCGCCAACGTGGCTCTCGCAAGCGATTCAGTGCGTCGTTTTGGCAGTGCAACTCGTCCAAGCGTACAAGCTCAGCGCGAATGCGGTCTCGAGCGCTGTCACGACAGCCTACTCGCTCACGCTTGTTGCTTCGTGCCTCCTTCCACCGTGGCTCTCCTACTCGTCGCACCCGTCTGTACGGCATCACATGGCGCGCTTCTTCTGGTCGTTTTTGGTTTTCTCTTGGCCACCGGTGTCAACTTAGCCTTTTTCCTCGTACCCGTGGTCCATGTGACGGTTCAGGACAAGCGCCTCGGGTATGGCATGGCGTGGACGACCGAGTACGTTCTCTTGACGCGATGCTTGGTTCCTGGCACGCTTCTCGATCTCATTGGAAAGCTCGTGCTCTTTGGGATGAGCTACCTCAGCTCGCGCCAGCTCGTGCAAAGCGTCTTGGCTGTTGCCGCGCCCACTACGTCGAGCCGACTCCTCTCGGGGCACCTGCGCGCGCTGGCGTCCGTCAAGGATACGCTCTCGTTCCGAAAACCTCGGTCGCGCTGTACCCATGTGTTTTTGATGGTCCATCTTGTCATTGGCAGTATGGTGCTGGCTATGGTGTTATCGCCGCGGCCCGCCTGTCCCGTCGACTGCAAACTCGCGGTCGCGCCGTGGCTAAAGTCGACCTGTCAGTGCATTCTCTACCATTTCAACGGCCACGACAATGTGTCGATCGATGCAACGACGCTCTCAAGCGACCGCTTGGGCGACCGCCTCTTCTTCTTACATCTAACCAACTGCCCGTCGCTTCCTGACCTGCAATTGTTGGCGCCCTTTCATAACCTCTATGGCCTCACGATTGAATCCGGGCAAGCCACGTCATGGGCAAAACGCAATGCGTCGTGGCCACCGTCGTTGATGTCGCTCAATTTGCGCTACATTCCGCTACGTGACATTCCAGAAGCCCTTTTGGAGCTACCACCCAACTTGCAAACGCTCTCTATCACGGGGTGCCTCAACATCTCGCGACTGCCCACGACGGTCCGCACATCGTGGGCGGCCGTGGCGTGGTTGATCCTGAACGACAATGCGTTTCATGAAATGCCGCACTTTCTCGCCAATTTCTCGTCGCTCGAGAGGCTCGTTGTGTCGACCAACCGCCTTAAAACTCTACCCGAGGCCGCACTCGCGTCGCTGCCGCACTTGACGCGACTCGAAGCTGCACAAAACAGCCTCACGCAGTGGCCAACCCACCTTATCGACGGCAAGCCCGCGCTGCTACTTGATCTCAGCAACAATCCGATCGCTGCCGTGCCCACCACGGATGCAATCGCCTCTCGGTTGATTATACTCGACGGTAGTGACTACTGCAATGCGACCCTCGCAGCTGGGTGCTATGCTATCTGTTCCCCACTCTGCTCCAACGTTGAAGTCGGCGACAAGGTCTGTCAGCGCAAATGCTGGAACGCCGCATGCCAGTGGGATGGCAACGACTGCGCGAACGGCGGGTCCCAGTAGCGACGACGGCGGTATACAATGCTGTAGTACATGTAATAGGTGTCTACTTGTATCGAGCCACAGATCACAGCGCTGCTGCGACGACGCCAACATCGCTAAATTTTCTCCAACACCTCGCATATATATGAACGTGTTTCGCGTTATCTTGGAGATAACACCTCGCATACCGTTTGATCAACCACAGGTTTCGCCGGAGAGTCCCAGCTCTTCATGATCTCGGCAGCTATTTAGTACATGCAGCTACAGGAAGACCGCCTGCAACGACGACGGCAACAACGGCGCCAAGCCATGGCAAGACTGGCGAGTCCTTGCAGAATCAAGGCCAAGCTCGTGCATGCTTCTGCCCAGCTCATGCTGTGGCGTGGTAGCTAGAAGGTGTAAACAAGGAAGCGTGGAGAGACTGCTGCAGGCTTGGACTATACACTGTACTACGTGCGAATGTCCTGCGCATCCAGTGTTTCCGCAGCACAGTATCAGTGCATTCATTGTGCGCTTCTTTGCGTTGGCGTCCCAGCGTGACACGCTACTAGCCCTACCCCTCCATGCGTGCTCGCGCGTCGTAACACGTTCGAATATCAATGTCACGAGCGTTGCATCTCCTGCAGACATGTCTGTAATAGGGCAGATTCCCAGCAAACGGCACATGGGCTTAGACGAGGCCACTTTCCTACCGATAGTCTATCGTCCATGTCCAGACTGCGCTGAATTACATACCTACGACTCGGCGGCTGCGACTTGCCCGGCTCGTCGTCGTCCAGAGAGGTCGCCTGGGCGTACACGAGTCAGGGCTGTCGTGCAACAGTCGTACCATGATGGTGCGAACCAAGCTATGTTGTTCGGCATGACTCTTTGTAGCCGCCTGTTGCTCGTGTAATATCTACTTTCAACCATCCACCAGATAAAGCCAGATGCGTGGACCGTCTCCCAACGTAAATAGTGTTAGATCATGGCCAATCATTTTCTCTCCAACCTGCCTCGTACGATCCCCAAGCCGAGCAGCCATAACTGCACCAGACGCTCTGTTGTGTATTCGTTCTCGTGACGAGCACTGTCTGCCCCTACCAACGAGGTACAAGTAGTTGGTCGGTCGATCCCATATGCACACTATTTATGGATACTGTTTCGAAGTTCCGCTCTGGTCTACAGGTCGCTTGCAAGAATGCACGTGTTTGCCATGTCACGGCCACTCGTACTGAAGATCTTGCACCTCACAAAGCTCACTTTGCATTTTGCACCAACCACCAACTACCATGAAGCTCCTCTCCATCATCCTTGCGGCTGCGGTTGCCTACGCCGCCAAGTCGTGCGACAACAAGACAACCCCCCGGCGCCATCGAGCCTCTCGCCGACGATGACGCCTGCCCCGACGACGTACACTCCGGCGCCGACGGCCGGCCCCACGGTCGCCCCCGGCCCCCCCAACCGGGCACCGGCTCTCCGATTCTGATCAACTTGGCTGTGCCGGACCACGTCGGCGTCGACTGCCCCGGCATCAAGTCGCGCCACCCCGCTGGCACGCTTTTCTGTGGCTCGCCCAAGCCGCCGGGGGCCAACGTCTACGAGCCGTCGTGCGACAAGTCGATGACGATCACGTACAAGGGCAAGAGCGTCACGTGCGTGATTTCGTTCCAGGCCACTGGTGTCGGCCTGACCACGGGCGCGTATGTCGAGATTGTCCCCGAGGCGTACAAGGTATTGACCGGCGAGACGTACGGCGGCCAGCTCCACGGCGGTACCTGCACCGGTGTCTGCAACGTCGCCCGCTCGTAAGCGCTATCGCGTCCATTCTGTCGTGGTTTTGTACATTAATCCAATCTTCTTTTTACACCAAAATGTCAAAAAGCAGTCGCAACAGAGATAGCAAGCCCATGTTGGATTCCCGTCCATCTCGTTGAAAAGCAATTGCAACAGCCTACTAGTACGTCACTGCCCTTTTTACGCAACGAGGCTTGGGTTGCTTGACCAAGCAAGAAGGAGAACTGTCCAAACTGGTAGCTAAAAAACATCGATCAAGAGCCCACTGCACGCCGTTCGCTCGTCTTCAAAAGTAGCTTGGCATGCCTGGCGCAGCCCCTTGCGTCCATTGGGATCGCATGTTTTTACATCGTGTTGGCTCCATTGCCGAGATACTGAGATAGAACGTGGCTGCAGGTCGATGCGCGCATCGTCGTCGTCCCAAACACAAGAGTTCGACTCGTGGCTATGTCGTTGGCGCCGGGTAGCGTCACAGAGTCACAGAGACAGCGGACATAGCTCCTCGAGAGGCAGCCAAAGCGACCCAGACGTGGATTGTTTGCAGCAAAACGTGTCTGAGCAATGATTTCAGAGCGATATAACTCACTAGTGTTTTAAAAAGCCGCGATGGCGGTGGCAAAGACGTATGGCTCGTTAGAGTAGAGTAGCACCACGATGTCGCCACATTTGAGCCCACTGTTGCGACAGTGCTCCCGTCTACCTTTACTCGCTTTCTTCTTGTCCTCTATGGAAGCTCCTCAACGGCCTGCCAGAAAAATCAACGGCAGCGCAGCACAGCGAGATCAAATGCAATGTGAGTGACCACGGCGCAGACCATTACACGCCAGTGGGATATTCTGAGGCTATCTCGGGGTTTGTATGCGACAGCTGGGGCCGGGCAATGCAGCCGGTCGCGTTCGATTTGGAAATCGGGCACCGCGCTTGCACTCTGCACTTGCACTTGTGCATCTCATTTTCCAATTCGATCTATGAAGGCCATCTACCTCTTTAGCGCGCTTTTCGCGGCTGCGGTTGCCGACGTCAAGCAAGACTACGAGCCGTGCAGCATGCAGCACGACTACTGCGCCAAAGACAGCTGGATCTGCTGCGTTGGCCCCAAGGATGTCAAGTCGGGCAAGACCACGTGCCGCCCCGGTGGCAGTGACTGCATCTGGGACTCGCCCGAGATGCGCAAGTCGGACTACTGGGACTCGTCCGACTCGAGCTCCGGATGGGACTCCGGTTCAGGCTCCGATCCGTCTGATGAGCCGAGTGACGAGCCGAGCGATGAACCCAGCGACGAGCCGAGTGACGAACCGAGTGACGAACCGAGTGATGATCCGAGTGACGAACCGAGTGACGAACCGAGTGACGAACCGAGTGACGAACCGAGTGACGAACCGAGTGACGAGCCGAGTGACGAACCGAGTGACGAACCGAGTGACGAACCGAGTGACGAACCGAGTGACGAGCCGACTGACGAGCCGAGCGATGATCCGACCGATGATCCGACCGATGATCCGACCGATGATCCGACCGATGTCCCCACGGACGCCCCGAAGCCAACGCCGTCGCCGTCGAGCCAGCCGGGCAACGGGTCGCCGATTCTGGTCAACTTGGCCGTGCCCGACCACGTCGGCGTCGACTGCCCTGGCATTCAGTCGCGCTTTCCGGCCGGCACGCTTTTCTGTGGCTCGCCCAAGCCGCCGGGTGCCAACATCTACACGCCGTCGTGTGACCAGTCGATGACCGTGACGTGGCACGGCAAGAGCGTCACCTGCGTGATTTCGTTCCAGGCATCGGGTGTCGGGTTGACGACCGACGCCTACGTCGAGCTTGTCCCGGAGGCCTACGCCGTGCTCACCGGCTCGACGCAGGGCGGCATCATCACGGGCGCAACCTGTACCGGCGTCTGCAACGTCGCCCGGTCGTAATCCGTCAAGTTATATGCTTTTTAAACCATGCGTACAATCCACATGCCAATCCAACCAAACACACACACAACCGGACCGGGTTGTCGCCCGAAGGACGTCGCCATGAGAGCAGCTAGCATCTCTAGCAGTTGGGTTCTGCGTACGGATGCCCATTTGCTTGGTTGCTCAGTGATCGCGGTCGTCACTTGAACCGGCATCTTGCCGGTTGCGCAAAAGGGCTAGGGTAGAACGTTTCGAGGTGCAGACATGTGTTTTCTGGTTGGCGAGCGTGCACGTGGTGGTGAAGCGGCGGTAATGGATTGGGGCGCCAGCAGATTCTCGCGCTGCTTGCTCGAAGCTTCTGCTGTGCCTCCCACAGCTTCTCATTGCGTGCGATCGTCGTCCAGCATTGGTATCTATCTATACTACATGATATTAGGACCGCGCAAGGAGACGCTCGAGTGCTGCAACGATGCACGCCAGGGCGTCCTGCAATGGCCTTCAAGGCAAAGCACTCCTTCCTGATCTACGAAGCGCAAAGGCTCGTGCTCGCAGTCTCGCACACATTGATCGGCTCGGAAAGCGCTTGGGATCATGTGCAACACTGTGGCGTGCTTGACTGAGTCGAGCGGCGACAGAAGGCATGCATGAAACGTCGAGTACATGTGCATAGTAAAGCTCGGACGCTCAACTAGTATAGACATGTATTAATACAATAGCTCGTCGTTGCTCACACCCTTTCTACTACGAAATGCATGCAAGCAAGGGACCGTGTGGACGTCCAGAAGCGTTTATCGCTCGTCGACAGGCGGTCGGATCCCATGTGGTGTAGCATTGGTCACAGCATGGCGATCCTATGACAAGCGCGACGTGTGAGTTGGTCGGTTTGAGCGCTGAGTCATTTCCTTTTTTCATCGATGCAACGCCTTGTGTGCCTCACTGCCTTGCTCGCGGCTGGCGCCCACGCAGCGTCCCAGCCTGCGTGGCATGTGTGCCACCGCCAGCACGACGCCTGCGCAACCAAGAACTGGGTCTGCTGCGTCGGCCCCGACGACATTACGAGCGGCAAGACCACGTGCCGCCCGACGTGCGAGACGACGCCGCCGCGCATGAAGCTCACGGAAGACTGCGACGACGACGACGACGACGACGGCAATTATGACGACGACGACGGCGATGATGGCGACGATTCGGGGTCGGGGTCCGTCGATCCGAGTGACGACGAACCCTCTGACGAGCCCTGCGACGACGACCCTTCGGACGAGCCTTCCGATGAGCCTTCCGATGAGCCCTCTGACGAACCTTCTGACGAACCCAGTGACGAGCCATCCGACGAGCCCAGTGACGAGCCTTCTGATAAGCCCAGTGACGAGCCCTCCGACTCTGGCTCAGGCTCCGCCTACCCGACCGACGAGCCCTCGGACGAGCCTTCGGACGCGCCCAGTGACTACCCGTCCCAAGACCCCGTCTACCCGACCGAGGACCCCAGTCCGTCGCCGTCGCCCTCCAACAAGCCGACACTCGGACCTCGCCCCGTCACCGGTGACCTCAAGACGCAGATCATCTACCAGACGTCGGTCATTCGTGCTGCCCACGGCCTCGGCCCCGTCACCTGGAATGACGAGCTCGGCGCCAAGATGCAGGCCTGGGCCGACTCGAACCCGCAGCAGAACGGCGGTGGCCACGGCGGCCCGCCCGGCAACCAGAACCTCGCCAGCTTCCTCGTCTGCAAGAACGACTGCATGGCCAGCGCCGGTCCGGCTTGGAGCTGGTACTCGGGCGAAGAGAAGCTCTGGGACTACAACACGAACAAGAGCAAGGACGGCAACTGGATGACGACCGGTCACTTTTCCAACTCGATGGACCCGGGCGTCAACGAGATTGCGTGCGGCTACTCGACGTTTTACAACCCAACGATTCAGGCCGACGACTCGCTCGTGTGGTGCAACTACCTCGGTGGCAACGACAAGCCGATTCCGCGACCGCTCATGGACCAAGAGGCGCTCATGAAGAAGCTAGTCTCGGCGTATTGATCGCAGTTTATAGTTCGAAGTTCAAGTAATAGCGTGTGAATGTATTGGATAAAATGCCGCCATCGTAGGTCAAAGATCACGAGGCATTGCATAGTCTTTCAAGAAGCCAATGGGATCGATAGAGGTGCCTCTCGTCTGCCGCCCATGGCTAGCGTTCCACCGAGTCAGAACGGGACGGTATCGGGGTGCTTCACCCACAAGGTTGGTGGCCACCGCTAGCAGAACTTCCGTCTCTGGCTTGAGGCTTTAGTGTGAGGTGGTTTTGCCCTGGAGCTAACCACTAGGGTTCGGTTTGGCTAACCGGTTTTTCCTCT